ACATCAGACGTACTTTATTAGCCACTAGTAAATTTTTCGTAATATTTTTATTTGTATCAATTTTTATGATTTATGAATTTACTTTCTATTTGTCTCATATACCAAAGTTATTGCATAAATAATTTTACTGTATTAATACAATATTATGAATATAGAATGTTTTGCTTTTATTCCTTCAAAAATTTATATATGAAAAACGGACAGTAACTAAAAATTTGAAACTGACTAAAATCCGTGCTAATAAAGTATATCTTGTTTTGTTAATACTTTTAGTGCCAAGCTTATTTAATTGACCTTAATAAATCTAAAATATAATTTTAATATTTTTATAATTTTTTAGTAACATTTACATAATTTCTTTAATGTCGCAAATATTTAGCAAAAATATTTTTAAGCAGATAAGTTTAACCCTTTGCACTCCGAATTATATTTCATCTATTGGTAAGACTTGAAAAAATGTCGAGTGAGACACTCGACAAAGGAGCTCCTGAGATAAAAACTGATGTCAAGTCACACTCGACATAGGAGTGCAAAGGGTTAATAAATAAATCACAATTCACTCACGAATGGATATGGTCTTTGCGGAAAATTTTGCATTATTAGGTGTGGATGACGTGGCACTCAAAGTGTTAACATATAAATAAGTAAATTTGTATGAATTTATATTTAAAAGAATATAATTTTACAAAGAAATAGACGTAGACATATATCGAAGTTAACATAACAAGATCCAAATAAAAATTCGTGACATTGTATACAGTAATTTTCTAAAATTACTACATTTATCATATCTTTTTTAAGTTAATAAGACTTTCATAACTTGAAAAGGTCATAAGTCAAAAATGTTTTATATGTGCAGACTGAAAACGGTAAATATTTACCCTTGGCACCCACCAATCGACTTCCGTTTGGCCTTGATCACTAAGGAGGTCAAGGTCATTGCCCAATCACGTCGCTCATTGTTTATTAAAAAGTTATGAAGAAAAGAAGTTTCATAAATGCTATTTGCGACTTTCCAGCGAGATCTACTTGACACCTCAGACATGGTTTGGGTAGGGTCATATCTTAACGAAGTGGAGCCATCCCGAAGGGGGGACGGAACATACTGTCTCCACCTATATCTGGTGAGGGAGAGGGGTGACTTATATGTGGACGGAAAAATGTATGCGTACAATCATTCTCTGTATACAAAGCAAACTTATTTCCATCATCGTACGATTCCGCGTGGATCATTCAAACTTTCCAGTGGTAGAGAACTACATAGCATTTATAAAACTTCTTTTCTCCATGATTTTTTAACGAACAATGAGCGACGGGATTGAGCAATCGATTGGCGGGTGCTAAGTAAGAATAAATATTTACCTACTGTATACCAGTAGAGAAATTTTGTAATTTTCATGCTCTTTTAGTTCATGTATCTTTTACAGGTTTGTCTTTTCCGAGAGGTGTCGCCGCGCTCGGTGCCGTTTCATATCACCCTTTTGCGTGAAACTTAACGAGCACACGTCGCATTTAAAAGGCCGTATTCCGCTGTGGATACGTTTGTGAATAGCCAGGTGAGAACTCCTCAGAAACTTCTTTTCACATATATTACACTGATATTTACGAGCCTCCACAGGCAAGTGCGTCGCAATGTGAACAATTAAATTTTGTTTGTAACTGTTAACATAAAGAAAAATATCATGTGATAATCTTACGCATGTATATTTTATACGTATATATTTATTTACTTGATAATAATTCTAATTTTACCTGAAGCACTTTCCACAATGTTCACATACAAAGGTTCCTTTCTGATGACGCTGTATATGAGTCCATCTGGAGATGTAACTTCTAAAGGAGTTTTAATAGAATTAGAATTAAAATAAAATATAAAAACGAAAGAACATATCAGTCTTGTAAGAAAGTAGCAAAGTGAACAAATAAATAAGCAAATGTTTTTACCGGAAGGGCCGATGACATATCGGACAGCTATACGGCATTTCTCCAGTATGAATTCTCTCGTGATTCATCAACGATTGATGGGTACTGAGCTTCTTGCCGCAGAATTTGCAGATGTAATCTCTTTTCGCGCGGCGTTTGTCGGACAACTTCAAACCGTGTATCTCTCGTACATGTTTTATTAGATCCAAGCGTTTTTTAAAAACTGCGTTACAGTGATCGCATTTATTCTCGAAGTGAATTTTACAGTGTACCTTCTGAAAGTTATACATTACAATTACGTTAGAAATACGCTTTCTATTTGAGGCACTAGATATCTGACTAGATACTGCTTTTTGTTACAAGTCTTCAACAGACTCACCATATTATGCAAACGTACAAAAGAACGTCCACAGATATTACACTGATGAGGCTTAATGTTCTGATGAATGGACAGCTGGTGTTCCCTTAATCGAAACTTATCCCTGAACGGTCGGTTGCAAACATCACATCGGAATTTATCCCAACATTCTGGATCGTGCACCTGCAAGCAATCTATAAATGTATTCCAACTGTTAATGCATCTCTAGATGCACGATATACACATACGTTTCTATGTTTTTCATAAAATTCCTTGTCGACAAATATTTTAGGACAAGCAACGCATTTATATACAGTCACAGTCGGATCACTAAACATCTCCCATTTGTGTTTCTGAAAGTTATACGTAAGGACATGATATAACACATTTTTTCTATTATATAATTTTTAATAGACAAATATTTTTCGCAATAAATTCTTTAAATAAAATTTGTATTTGCATGAAAAACTAAAATCGTTTATCGATCTAAGGTATATGAATTCACTGTTCCAAGTATAGGACTTGAAGTATAATTATAACAATTTGGCGCGCAGTTTACCGAGTTTGTAAAAGTATACCAAATTTACATAGAATTATTAGACTGCAGATTAATTTTTGATCAGAAATAGTATATTGCAGTCATTGGTGTTTAATTGGATTCATATCGGTCTTCTTTTACTTGTTCACTTAAAATTGTTAATAGTTACCCTTAAATGGCGTATCAGTTTGAGACGTGTCGAGAAAACTGTGTTGCAATATTTGCAACATTTGTCGACCATTTTGGAACACTTATTTTCATTGTGATTCTGCCAATGCCAGCCGTGTGTAAAGAATTGTCCGCATTTATCACACGTATACTTTAACTGCGTCTTTTTGTACATATTGTGCTTTTCACGTTTATGAAGAAATAGATTGTATACAGACGAACATTCTGTAGAGCATATTGTACAAGCCATAACTCTCTCCTCATGTATCTTATTATGGGCCTCGAAATGTCGCTCGTCTCCAAAGCGGATCTTGCAAGAATCACAAAACAATTGATCTTTCTTTTGCTGAGGTGTTTTGAGTGATAGCCAAACTCTTTTATGCTGAGTTGTTTTGAGTGGTAGCCAAACTCTTTTTTGCTCTTTTACGACTTTGTTCAAATCAGACCTGCGATTAGTTCGTTTCATCGAGGCCTGTGTCAGATTGCAATTATTTTTTATTTCAAGAATATCATTTCTGAAATCCATCTCAAAGTTAATTGATCCTGCTATTTCGTTATTCTTCATGGTAACAACTTGTTCGTAACTGTTTTCATTAATAATCTCTTGCTCCATTTTCGGATTATTCTGAATATTCTCAACTATCATCTCTTGTTCATTACTCTCATCATTCTGAACACTGTTGTCATGTATCACTTCCGTTTTAATCTGGTTATAATGGATATTCTCACTTGTGTGTATAATGTCCTGCTGGTCGTTCTGATTATTCTCAACACTCTTTTCAGTATTGTCTTGTTTATTCTGATCGATAGTGTATTGACGAATATTGCATATTGCGACATTACTATTATGTTTCGATGCTTTGTGCACTATTAGCTTATTAAATTCGTTAAAACTGTTATCGCAGAGATGACATCTCCACTTGAAAAAATGAAATTGTTCCATGTGGTCATCAAATGTGTCTAGATTTTGAAAATCCAAGTTGCACATGTCACATTTGACAGGGCCGATGATAGCTCGTCTCTTGAGTTCTTTTATTGATGGTGGTCTGATATTTGTTACATTAGATATTTTTAGTTCCTCGCAAGGTGCTACGACATTTCTGTCTGTAAAGATAGCATTTTTCTGTTCTTCATCCAATTGCATTCGTAGACGTTTATCTGCCTCTACTGCAGTAAGAATCAGCTCATAACTAGTATTCAAGTAATTTAGGCAATGTCCACATACATTGGAAGGTAAATTGTCATTTGGAAAAATCTGGAAACATGAAGAAAACAATACTATTATTATATATTATATGATAAATTTACCAGTTTACAATTCTTAACTTACAATGATCGGTAAACATCTACTTATTTTTTCCGAAATATAATTATCCTTGTCCTCAAATATTGGAATATAGTGCGAAGACTTTTCTCCACACAAACGGCATACTTGGAGTTTCTTGTGGGAAACATTTACAATGTTGGCGAATTGATCTACTTTACTATTCATCTTGTCTCTGCTTGACAAATCTGCTTGACAAAATCAACACATCCTCTGTTCACCAAACAAATATTATTACTGTGATAGAAAATAAATAAGAGCAACATCAGATATAATTTTATTTTATTCTTATAAGTTATATGTGAAATGCAAATTATATTTCTAAATACCGTTTAATAAATATGTTAAGTTATCTATCATAACATAAGAAATTTGAGTGACTCACAGTTACCTTATATATATTACTACGTCGCTCAATGTCCTTAAGCTCTAACATATCTGTTTTCAGATGCAGTTTCACGATTTCTCGCCATATGTCTATCCTTTGCTCGTCATTATCGATACCAATCCACCTCAGGCTATTCTCATTTATTCTCAACAAAGTTTTTCCTGTAACGTCGTGCTTAAAAGATACAAAAAATTTTTACTTGGAACTAATGTATTCTCATTGATAAAAAATGGTTAATCCGCAGTGTAACGCCATCCTCTTTGATTTTTGCAATTTTTATTACAGAATGTCTATTTTTATACATGAAATAAATTTTGTTAATTAAAGTTGTTGCTCATGTATTTTTTCTATTTAATTTCAATGTTTAATGTAAGCAAATGTAAAATTGATAATTTTTGGAAAAAAACATATACAAACGTCTATTGCTTCAATGTAATCATTAAGATATTACGATTATTAAGTTATTCAACTAAATATCCTATTTTCTACTTTATTTATAAGATGTTTAATTTGAAATGACAGGCACTAAACTATGAGCCCGTGGAAAATTGGTAATCTGCATATGTGCAAAAGTCTCTTATGACTAACTTCAATTGAATTATTTTATAAAAAATCAACAAATAATGTTCGGCCTTCTAAAAAAGACAGGTGCAATATAAATAGGAATTAATAATGTTTTGTCATGGTATGTTTTTTTCTGGAAAATTATAAAAAATGATGGTTACCTACTAGCAACATAATAAAATTTTAAGACTGAATTAAAGAAAACGGTACATGAATCTATTTTACGCACAAATGTACACAAGTTCTGAAAAACTTACAAAGAGGGGAGGGGAGAGATAGATTTACCCAAAAAATCTACTGCACAACTAGCAACATGGAATTAACAAGGTATGCAAATCATTGTGATTGTAAAGAGAAACGGGATCAGAGACGGCGATTGGAAAAGATAAAACGCTTACATGCAGAAATTTCTCGTAATGCTGCTGATAATACTCGCTGCAGTGTCTTTTCAACCACTTCTGCACGTCGAGAACGTTCCACATATACACCGGACGCGGTCGGGTTGTTTTGCTCTGGAAAACACAACAATGACATATCCAGGAAGACAAGACAACTTCTGTGTTCTTACTTTTGTTCTATGTGTGACGGTGGGAATAACGATCTCTTCTACCATCCTACTTCCGTTCTTTGATGGTGGCACGCGAAAGCCAAAATGCGTCTTTTTTCTTATTATTCTCTCCCTCTACGGGAATGCCGTAACAACTCCCTCACGATATAGATTACACCTTCATACTATTATCCCACTTGGTCGCAATAATCCCAACACTTTCTCTCTTTATGATCGATTCCACTGGATCTACTTGGTCATTTTGCTATCTTCCTCCTGCTCCCTCACCAGATTTAGCGCACGCCCAGACCACGTGATCCAAATCTTCTCTCGTATGGCCGCATTCACATTGTTCCGATGTGCTGGGACTACATAGGATGTAGTAAGTCGTGTCGGAAGAAATTGACCAATCACAGTTCATTATTCTCCTTACGGTCCAAGAATAATCCAATGTAGACCCAGCCTAAGAGCACACCTTGTTTTCCTACCACCATGGTGTATCTATATAAGTCTATATTCAAGACGCAAGTTGACACAAGTATCACAACATTAGATAAGATTTAATTGTTACGAAGGGCCAAGTTTTTCCTTTAGATGGTTCGCAACAATTGTCCAGTATGACAGATGTGAGGAGTTTAAGAGAAGCTGTTGAGCAATATGAAAGTCAGGTATAATATCAGAAATTATGCGTGTCAACAATCTATAAAAAGACATAATTTTTACTTAACTTTTTCAGCTATCACAGGTGGACACGACACTGTCTACAACGCCCAAAGGCCCCGATAGAGACAACTTGCTCAGCCTAAAATCTGATATCGAGCAACTCATTTCCTTGACGAGAGAAAGTTTGCAAAATCTTGAAGGAGAGGTGGAAAACGAAAACGAAGACAATAATCCTGATAACAGGACGGATAATCTATTAGACAAAGAATATGCCTTATTCAAGGTCTGTCTTGGAAACGATCGCTAATCGTAAAATAATTATCGTTTATCTTTCCTATTAAAATTAATTAATTGCCATCGAGGATCAATAAATTGACTAAAGTGGAACAATATTGAGAAGTTCCCATTTTATCTCGGCACTACTGGCAACACAATAGTCTTGAGCATTCAGTATAATAAAGAAAAGGCGTGGATGGTTTCATTTGGGAATGATTTCCTCGGAAGCTAAATCCAGTAATAGCGTCCAGTACTGAGAGGAAATGGGAACACATCCCTTGTTGTAACAATTTTATAATTTTCAAGCATTATGAATGTCATTAAGTTATAATGTGAAGACAGTTTTCACGCGTTGTTAAATGTGTTGCTTAAATTGATTAGGCAGAGCTTGAGAAATCTTCAGATGACGTCCAAGATAGACAAGATGCCACTACTTTTTCTGATAGCATCCAAGTCAGTATACAACTATTCTCTATATCATAGCAGTGACACAATTATACGGTGCAAGTTGACTTTTTAGGATGAGTTAAAGGAACTAGAGGGTATGAAATGTAAAGCTCCTCATGGCAGTACTTGGGGTGGTATTGGTTATCACAATGCTATGGTGTGTTCTGTTTATAGAGACAGTGACCAAGTGATTAAAGATATCCAAGACATTAAGGCAAGTTGACGAGGCTAATTGTAGAGGAGAGTCCCTGTGTATGAGATACCGAATTCATTTTTTTCCAATTGCTGGAAATCTATATGCACAATTAAAAAATATAATAGCTCATGTTGAAGGAAATTTAATAAGCTGCAAAATGCTGAGATGTAAAATTCAATTCAATTTTTTTTATGATTAGAAAAATATTAAAAATCAGCTTTGTGTAAAATCGAAAAAGTGTGCTCATAATATTAAGTACCCCAAGAAATTGCTAATAAAGTGCAAAATATACAAGTATTACAATTGGAAGCTTATTAAATGTTTATAAAAAACAAATATAATGAAAAATATTGCAATTGGACGTTTATTAAATGTTTGCGAAATACAAATATAATGAAAATGCTTAAATATTTTTAATTTGACAATAAGTCACGGAAGTTGTTGTTTACGCTCTCGTTTTGCAGATGGTGTTTTTATTTTCATTAACAGCTAGCTGATCGCATATGTTATCTCGTATGAATACTGAATATCTCTTGATACAAGCCGCACGCCTTGCGATTTTGCGACCACCAAATCTAATCTCTACAACCAAATTAAATTTATTAATTTGTTAAACAACTGAACATATCCTGTACTTTCCTATTAATACAATCTTATTCTACCATTGAACGCAGAATTTATTGCCAAATATTACATAATACACAAGGTTTAAAAACTCACCTGAATAGAACTTGATGACATCCAATTTCTTAAATCTTTTTTGTAATGACTACCTGCACGATTTAACAATATATTTTTTTATCAAATAGTTTTCATTCCAAGAGTAATAAGTTTACGATGGAGCCAAGTAATGGCGCTTATTAATTTAGCAGAGAAACCTCGCTATCTTATATTGGTAGCTTACCTCATAGTACGGATCTCTCCTCTACTGCAAAATTATATTTTAACTTATCACTTATCTTTTTTAATCCTAAATTTGATAGCTCCCCCTTCCCCTCAGGTTCGAGTTTTCTTTCTCAACCCAACGCACAAAGAGATGATCCCATGTCCGTATTTTCTGAACGGTAGCTGTAAGTTTTCTGACGAGAATTGCCACTATTGTCATGGCCAAGTTGTGCCGTTTACAAGTCTGCAGGAGTACAAGTACTTATTCTTGACCAGTTAGAAAAGGTTTATGTCATTTAAAGCTCGCTTTAATGTCACTTTTTATTTGCAGGGAACCTGATTTCCACAACATCAAAGTAGGAAGCAAGGTGTTAACTAAACAAAAGAACAATATGTGGCAAAGATCTATTATCTTAAAATTACCCGAAAAGGATGAGGATGAGTACAGGGTAAAGTTCGAGTCGAGCGGTAAAATTTTGGAAGTTGGTTTACAAGATCTCTTGCCTCTTGGTAAAAACATGTTGAAAATTATGTGTCTATTTTTTCATATTTAGTATTATATATATATCTTTTTAATATTGATTATGTTTGCAGATGACACAAACTTAGAAATGTCAGATACTTCTGATGATAGCGACGACGATGACAAAGATGCTAATAATATTAATAATAATTCCGAGGCTAATCTAGGTGTAAATAATCAATTAATTCACAAGTCTCTTTTGACATTACAATCTAATGAACCTTTGGGAAATTGGGAGAGACACACTCGTGGCATTGGTAGCAAATTAATGATGCAAATGGGTTATGTACTTGGCACCGGTCTTGGAAAACTGAACGATGGAAGAATAGAACCTGTTGAAGCTCAAGTTTTGCCAGCAGGAAAATCGTTAGGTTTGTTTAAAGGTGTTTTTTTTCTTTAATTTAAGTGCAACTCGTTCTTAATTTGCTTAATTTTTTTCAGATCATTGCATGGAATTGCGCGAATTCGCTGGCAATGATAAAGATTTGTTTTCCGCGGAGCGTAAAATGCGTAAACAACAACACAAAATGGAGCGGCAAAGGGAAAAGCAGTATCAACGAGAAAAACAAAAAGAGGATAGCAATGTGTTTAATTTTATAAATAAAACATTAGGTGATAAGCGTAAGTTAAAGAAAAGCAACATTTATTGAATATGATTGTGAGTATGCATATTATATTCACGTATTATTAATTATTCTTGTGCAGCTAAAGAAGATGCAGCCAATAGTTCGCAAAGTAAAGATAAACTGAGAACAGAATCCAACAGGAATCTAAATGTAGCCAGTTTTCAAATTGGAGAAAACATAAGTCGTTTAGAAAAGGAATCGTCGAAGCTCAAAGAATCATTGGCAAAGCACGCCAAGGGTAGTGTACTTTACAATAACATTGTAATGAGATATAACGAAAAGCAGAAAGAACTTACTAGTTTAAAAGCTTCCGAGAAAAGTATTGTCGCTGAACAAAATCAAAGGAAAAACAAGGCTAAATTATCTGTGTTTTGATATCTATATGGTAGCATGAACGAGATGTACAATGCGGTGCATTAATTTGGTTTGGATTGTATCATCAAACAAAGAGAGCATCTATGTTTAAATAATCAAGTAATTTTTACCCATCTTTAATTATTACCCAAACGATGCACCGTCCTGCATATTAATTATGTCTGTATATAAAGCGATCTAAATATATTGTTTTATTAATGCTTTCTGCGTAAGTGAATTTCTTTTTCCACGAGATAAATGTCTTAGGAAACCGCATATGCCTAGTGATTGAAAAATCATTAATATATTCTTAATTATTAAGGTACTTGTCGCGAACAGTAAGAAATTAGCAGAGTATAGGGATGTTTATCGACATTCGATATTATCGGATATTTGATATTTTTTTTGACAGAAGACCCTTATCGTAACTGTGAAAGCAAATCTTTAAGGCTTGTGACTTTCTTCGATAGTCGACTAACTTGCTTTTGGAGACTATTTACTCGGGTTTTATGTGTTTTCAGATATTTCTTAACCACATTATAGCATTCGGGCGAAGTAAAATCTTCAGGGCAAAGATCTCCAATAAATTTGACAGTTCGCACCTTATTGCATGTGGTGGCTTCGTCTGTAGATCGTTTTCTTTTTCTGTAAAAACCAAAAAAATATGAAAATGATGCTGTTTAAAAATTTTATATATTTTTCTTACTACATGTTGTGACTTACCTTGTTGACATTGAATCGTTCTGACTATTGTCCGCATTATATAGAGGCACAGGAGATAAAACATCTTTAATTTCTCTAAGGTGTTGGACTGCTGAATTTTCATTATTTCAGATATTTACTAGTTCTGATAGTTCTGATTCACAAGATTCTGACTTTTCGTTGATCAACTTCAATTCCCTAATGATAATAATTTTTTTATAATAAAGAATAAATGTTATTCCGGAGTTTTATCAGATAAATTTACCTTGTATCGTGTAAACCCTGGCATTTTTCTGCTGTAGGAATTGCTCCTTTTATTAAATGTCTTTGAATCTTATTAAGCTTATTGATTTTATATTGGAAAAAACTTGGTTTAAATTGATCACTGCACACTTTGCTACAATAAAGCCCGCTGCAGACGATGCTATTTTTCCTGCTGGATTGCTTGCGATTTAGTAAATTACTATCATTGCACCACTCAGCATTCAGGATTCCTAGTAATTTACTAAATTGCAAGCAATCCAGCAGGAAAAATAGCATCGTCTGCAGCGGGCTTTAGAAACATTTTTTCCGATTACAGCAATCCACTTTGCTTTCAAATCTTCTGACCGTGGTATGCTTGAAAAAAATGTTTATTATAAATACATTGTAGGTTAGGTATAAACCATTTTTGTTTCAATTCAAAGTAATATACGTACGTATGGAATGTAATATCTGCATGAGATCCAGAATGCGATTTGCAAATGCAGCAATAAGACATTTTTTATTTTGTATTTTACGAAATAAATTTATAAAATATCTATTGCTGACAGCCTATACCAGCCTACGCTTTTGCCTACGCCGCTGGCAGTGCTGGCACTACGCCGTGCCGGAGCTTGGTGAAAGTTGCCCTTAGTAAATTACTATCATTGCACCACTCAGCATTCAGGATTCC